GTTAATAAGATTACCAAGTCTTTGTGTAGCCAGTTACAGTTTATGATGCAGAAACTATGATCCTTCTCATCACCCCTGGGGGAAAATATTTTTCAGAAGAGGGAACCGAGGTGACTTCCCTAGGGTTGCAGAGCTAGTAAGTGGCCTTGCTTTTGTTTCTCTTCTGGACCAGCTTTTTAAATACTCTCTCAAGGGATGATGTTTTTGAGGCTACTTTAGAGACTGAGTGGACTTTCAGTAGTCATTTTGAAAGCAGCAGTGTATAGTAGCAGGGGATGAATGTAGATGAGAAGCATTAGATGAAATGGTATTTATAAAAAGAATGGCCTGTTTCCAGTACAGGTGAAAGCTTATAGTTAACCTTGATTTTTAGCCAGCACATTTGCTTTTTGTTTAGGTAAATTATATTTTTAGTGTAGTTGCAGTTCCTTTTCTTTGGCCTGAGATAAAGAAAGAATTTTAAAATGCAAACTATTTTAAAATATAAAATGGTATAATTACATAAATATAAAAATTATAAGCTGAATTAGCTTTATGCATGAGGACTTCAAAGAGCTAATAGAAAATGGAATAAAGGAATGGGTTTATTGGGGCCAGCAGCTGGTATGGTGGTTAAGGTGCTGGATTCCCACATGGCCAACTGTGGTTTGAGGACTGGACCTGACCACTTGAAAGTCATGCCCGTTAAAATAAGATTCTAAAAACTGAGGCTCAATTGATCTTTTCATTAGGAAGTGATATATTTTTGTTTCCGGGTGAGATTGAAGCAGTGTGTTGTCTAGTAGTGGAACATTGGACTAGAGAGGGGCTTATTGCTTCTGGTCTTGGTGCTGCCAGTAATTGGATATTATTCTCCTTTTCTTCTTCTTCTTCTTCTGTTTTTTTTTTTTTTAAATGTAGGCTTTTGCCATAGGGTTCAGGTGCTCACAAGAGAGAGACACAGAGAGGGACAGTGAGCAATCAACCCCCCACCCCCATGGGACATGACCACACTGCAGTTCCTTCTCCTCCATTCTCCTGTCAGGATTTTGGGCACACAGGTGTGCCTGTCATGAATTTCAAGCTGCAGGGTCTGGAACCTGAGTTGTGGTTGGCCTTGTGTGAGTCTAGCGCCTTAACTACCATACCACCTGTTGGCCCCATGGTCTCTTTTTCTTACTATAAATTAAGAGCATTAGAAGCAGTCTTAGGGTGTTTTATTTTATTTTCCTGAGATGCATCTCCACTTTGCAGATGAGTTTCTTTTTTTTGGAGAGGTTTTCGCTATAGGGCACGTATGCTCGCCAGACAGACAGAGACATAGAGACAGAAAGCGAGAAATCGCCCCCCGGGGGGATGGTCACGCTGCAGTCCCTTCTCCTCCATTCTCCTCTCGGGATCTTGGGCACAAACGCACATGTGCCCGGCGTGAGTTTTAAACCACTGGGTCCGGGATGCGAACCGTGGTCGAACTTTCCCTGTCTCTTTCTCACTCTGTCTTTCTTTGGCAAATGCATGTGACCTATAGCAAGCTTTATAAACAGAAAAGAAATGGAAATAGCTCATCAGAATTTATTTGAATAGTACCTATATTTTAAAATGATTTCACCTGTAAATATTATTATTATTATTTATTTATTTTTTTTTTGGAGAGGTTTTTTTCTACAGGGCACGTGTGCTTGCCAGACAGAGACAGACAGAGAGATAGAAAGTGGAAAATCACCCCCCAGGGGGGATGGCCATGCTGCAGTCCCTTCTCCTCCATTCTCCTCTTGGGATCCTGGGCACTCACGCACATGCGCCCGGAGTGAGTTTCAAGCCACTGGGTCCGGGACGCGAACCATGGTTGACTGCATGGGAGTCCAGTGACATAGCCATTACCCTAACTGCTGGCCCCTCTTTCACTTCTCTTCCAAGAAAGGAGTCACAGATGTCATCTCAGAGGACAAGTTTTGAGCTGTAGTCTTTCCCTTTGCCATCTTGTTTCCATTTTCTTGTGGGTCCTGAGATGTAAGTAGCAAATTGTTCATTGATTTGTGCCTGGCTTAGTAAACTTGTGTTGAATGAATGACATTAATATTTAGAAGCGTACAATGTCATGGAAAGGCAGAAAGGCAAATATGGAAGGCAAATACCTGTTCTGTCTTCTGATGCTTTAATGGAGGTTTGAGCCAGGTAGTGAGGGTACCAGGAAGGGTAGTTTGGGTTAGATATGGTTAGAATGGAATGGGGAACTGGTTTGGTTAGTGAAGGGTTTACAATGTAAGAACTGAACCTTAAAAGGTACCTACCTCCCTCTCATGAGGCCAGGAGTTCTGAGTTCTACATGAAGAGTTCTATACGAGACCACATAGGCATTTTTTTTATAGCCTTGTAGGGGTGTAGAATGGTTTGTAGTAAAAAGGGAAAATCTGGAAATTGAGCTTGAGAGGGATGTTTGAGTGTGCCTTTGAGACTCTGACTTCCTGGCTCTGCTACTGTAAGCTGCATGGTCTAGGGCAAGTTATTTAATCTGGCTAAGCTTCAGTTTCCTCTCCTATAAATTAGAGAGAATACAACAATCTCACTCTCGCTGTTAAGGATTAAATGAGTGAAGTGCAGTGTCTGGCACAGAAGAAATATTCAGTGAATGTTAGCTGTTCTGAATCCTTAATAGCTTTAAAATGTGTTCTTTCTTGGATTACCATGATAGCTTATTTTATTTTATTTATTTAGTTCTGCTGTAGGGCATGTGTGTTTCTCAGAGAGACAGAAAGTGAGAAATCGCCCTCAAGGGGGGTTGGCCACATCGCAGTCCCTTCTCCATTCTCCTTTTGGGATTTTGGGCACGCACGCACATGCACCCTGTGTATTTTCCAAGCCACCAGGTCCAGGATTCCAACTGCACAGTTGGCCTTGTGGGAGCGAGCCCGTTAACCTCCTTGCCACCTGGCTGGCATATTTATATATAAAACAACTTCATGTTGGAGTAATTTGTATGCCATTAAATTCACCCATTTTAAATATATATTTCAACACTTTAATAAACTTACTGTGTTATATAACCCTTACTACAATCCAGTTCTAGAACTTTCTGTTACATCGATAAGTGCTCCCATGTACATTTAGCGTTCATCTCTATTCCCTCTGCAGCCCTAGGCAATCAGTATCTCCTCTCTGTCTCTATAGAGTTGCCTTTTCTAGGGGTCTCATATAAATAGATCACAGAGCATGTGGCTTTTTGTGTTTTGCTGATTTCACTTAGCTTAATGATTTTTAGATACATACCTATATAGCATATATCATAACTTTGTTCCTCGTTATTGCTAAATTGTATTCTGTCATTTGGATGTATACCGTTTATCTATTCACCAGTAGGTCGGCATTTTTTTTCCCCACTCTTGCTATTATGAATAATGATGCTGTGAACATTCCTGTGCAAGTCTTTATATGGACATATGCTTAATAGTGTCTTAATTGGTCTGTTAGCCTCCTTTACGGGTTCTACTTCTGTTCTTTCCCTCTCCAATCTGTTGTCAATACTGTAGCCAGAGTGAACTTCCTAAAATGTAATCTGGTCATTTCATTCCAATGCTTAAAATCTTTTAGTAGTGTCCAGTTACTCTCAGAATCATGTTTACTGAAAGTCTTTAAAATACACAATTTCTGGGACCAGCAGATGGCATTACGCCACTGGACTCTGATGTAGTTTATCGCCATTTAGGTCCTGGCCCTGGTGGCTCAAAACTCACACAGGGCTCATGTGTGTATATGTCCTAGGTCCTGAGAAGAGAATGGAGGAGAAGAGGTTGCAGCGTGGCCATCCTTGCTGGGAGGTGATTTCTCACGGTCTCTCTGTCTCTCTGGCCAGCACACATGCCCTATAGCAAAAATCTCTCTCTAAAAAAAAAATCCAATTTCCACCTTCACTCCGCCTTTTATTTCACTGTGCCTCTTCATTTCTTGCTTCAGCCATTGTTTTACACATTCATTCATATAGTTTCACTCATTCATTTAATCATTCAGTTAACGAGTATTACTGAGTCTCTCAAGATAATGGAACAGGGCAACCAATTCTCACTTTCACAGAACTTTCTTTTTAGTTTGGCAGATAGTGAATAAGAAAACATCAAATAGTGGTAAGTGCTATGAAGAAAAGAGTGGTTGATGTGATAGTAACTTTGGGGTTGATGACACTTAAATCTCCAAGCCTACATGTTCCTCAGAGCTGCGCCTATTGCCAACAGCCTACCTGGTATCCCCACTCTTTCTCATCTATATATAATGTGGTTGGTTCCCTTTGTAAGTGTGCCCTGGAGCATGCTTATCCTACTCCCTGTCTTCCTCACTTCTGTTCTTGTAAGTCTTTCCTGACCCTCTGCTTCAGCGGCACCCCACAATCTGGCTAGTGGAGCTGCCCATTATGCCTTCTGCCTGCCCACAGCCTCAAGTAGCACCCTTCACATTACATTGAAATGCCTGGTGGTTGTCTGTTTATTCCACTCCATTGTATGCAACTTGCTGACTTTGAATACTCAAAGTCAAGTCTAGTGTCTGGTACACAGTTGGTGGTGCATACAAAGTCATGAAAGAGCAGTTGTATGTGGTTAGCCTTGAACAGGCAGGAAGGAGGGATGAAGAGAGGGACACTGTTTTCCTTGACTGGAGGGAAGGAAGGACCCAGGCCCGTTCATGAACAAGGAAGTGTGTAGGATAGGGGAGGAACACTGAAGGAGTTCTGATGGCATACGTTTTTCTCAGCAATTACAATTTAGTGCACCGTAGAGAGTGTGGAGAAGAGTTATTTATAATGAGCAGTAAGCGCATTAGAAAAAATAAAGGAATAGTGCTGTAGGGTACGTCTTGAAATCTTAAAACTATTCTTACTTGCTTCTAGTTTTACAGCTATTAGATTTAGCCTAATTTCGTTAGGCCATTCGTTACACATATTGATATGGACGACTAAATTACTTGGATGTTACTGCACTGATTTTCTTTCTTGTTCTTTTATAATTGATTTTATTTTGATGTTGTCTTTTCAGCTTTCGGAAAATGTGATTGATCGAATGAAGGAATCCTCTCCATCTGGTTCGAAGTCTCAGCGGTATTCTGGTATGTCTGGTGCCCCAGGTATAGAGGAGTTTTAATTTAGGGTTTCTAGTAGAAAAATGATAAGTGGAAAAAGTTTACTCAGTAGTTAGGTTCTCCAGTACTTCTGTCTTTTGTTATTTGGATGTCAGCTTTTTATAAGGAATGTTAGAAATCGATATGAGAGTTTCTTTTAAGTTTTGCAGTGAGAATGAATCTACTTTCCAGAAGTCTTTGGAAATTCTGTTTTCTTGTCCCACTTCTGAGGCCTGCTAGGCTCTGGAAGATGACTTCAAGTCTTCATGTAAAATGGAGTTGCTTGTAGAGAGATTAGAGATTTAGGAGTAAATATTTATAAAAAGCATTGCACTGAGAAAGTACGGATTTACTGTTTCTAAATTGTGAAGTATTTTAAAAAGATTTTATTTTCTATTAAGTTTTTTTTAAGTTTGTGAAAGATTTAATTTGTTATAGTAGTCTGTTATTGATGAAAATATGGTGTTAGGTGAAATCCATAGAGAATTAGTAAGGCTCGATTTATCTGTAGGTCCTGCTGGAAAAGAAATAGAAGTCTTTCTACTGTTTGTCTTCCCTTCTCTCCTGCCCCACCCACCCCGCCCTTCGCCCAACAAATATACTAAGTGCCTTCCATGTGTCCAGCACTGTTCCTGATACTGCCCACTTGACGGTTGGACATGTTGTTAAGGATGAAATGGCAACAAGAAAATTGGATGATTAATTTTAGACTAAAAGTTTTTTCTTTATTAGAAAGGGATACATCTGACTACAGACTATGAAATTGAGAAAGATGAGAGGTTGCCCAAGTGCCATTTAGTTGTTGCAGTTGTGAGCCCCTTACTAATGATTAAGGAAATGGGAATCAAGTGTCTGGTCAGGTTAGAACACAGGGTACCAACATGAATATGAAGCAGTTTCGGAGCTGGGCCTATAGGCCAGCCGTTAGGCACTGTGCAAAGAAGCCAGATCCCACATAAACAACCAGAGTTTGCCTCACAGCCCCATTGACTGGAAAAAACATGCCAGATACCCACATGCCCAGGATCTTGATGACTGGATGGAGATCTGGAAGGAAAATGATTTTGGCGGGACCAGGCCTTGTTGTGGGGTGCCTTCTCTCTCTCTCTCCCCACCACCTTTGTTTTTCTTTCTCTGTCACGTATGCATTCACTCTCTGGCATTATAACAAAGAAAATAGTTTTTGCCATTTTGAAGCTTCTTGTTTAGCAGAAGACTTGGGAAAGGTTCATGATTAATTAACACTAGATAGAAAGCGGGAACTCCTTGCTAGAAACTGTTTCCTTGGTTTCTGAACTACATTCACCCTGTTTATAATTCTCAGTTCAAATTCCTTTGCTTATTATGTCCACTTAGTAATTTTGTCCAAAAATATGGCCTTGAAACCATTGTCTAGATATGCCTATTACTCCCCAAATTGTATCTCTACCGTAGACCTCTCCCTGAAATTCTAGACTTTGATAGATAATTGCCTACTTGAAATTATTTGGGGATTGCCAACTGAACAAATCCCAAACAAACCTTTTTATTCTTCCTCAAGATTTATTTCTCCTCTCCAGGTCTGTCCTAGAAAATGATATAGGTAGTTAAGCCCCAAATTTTTGTTCAAAAATGAATCTTGGCATGCATGCACATGCGCCTGGCATGAGTTTAAGCTACCGGGTCCGGGACTCAAACTGCGGTCGACTACATGGGAGTCCAGTGACATAGCCATTACTCTAACTGCTGGTCCCAAATTTGCAAATTTTTTCTCTCCTTCTGAGGGTTGTCTTTTCACTGTAATTGTTGTTTCCTTTGCTGCAAAGAAACATTTTAGCACGATGTAATCCCTCTTGTATATTTTTGGGATTATTACCTGTGCTTTTGGGGTCTTATTTAAATATAAGCCTTTGCCTACTCCAATGTCTTCAAGAGTTTTCCTTGAGTTTTCCACCAGTCACTTTATAGTTTGAGGTTTTATGTTTAGTTCTTTGATCCATTTTTTTTTTTTTTGAGAGATTTTTCACTGTAGGGCGCGTGCGCTCGCCAGACAGACAGAGAGAGACATAGAGACAGAAAGCGAGAAATCACCCCCCAGGGGGGATGGTCACGCCGCAATCCCTTCTCCTCCATTCTCCTCTCGGGATCTTGGGCACGCACGCACACGCACCCGGCGTGAGTTTTAAGCCACTGGGTCCGGGACACGAACCGCAGTCGACTACGTGGGAGTCCAGCGACATAGCCATTACGCTAACTGCTGGTTCCCCTTTGATCCATTTTGAGTTGATTCTTGTTAATAATGAGGCATAGGGGTCCAGTTTAATTTTTCTGCAGGTGGATATCAATTCTTCCAGCACCATTTGCTGAAAGACTTTCTTTTCTCCATTACATTGTCTTGTACTCTTAGTCAAAGATCTGTTGGCTGTGTGATTTGGGGCTTATTTCTAGATTCTCTGTTCTGTTCCATTGGTCTATGTGCCTGTTTTTGTGCCAATACTATGCTGTTTTTATTACCACCTCTTTGTAATATATTTTGAAGTTGGGTAGTGAGATACTTCCTACTTTATTCTTTTTACACAGAATTGCCTTAATGATACAGGTTCTTTTATGATTCTAGACAAATTTTGTGATTGTTATTTCTGTCTGTGAAGAGCATTACTGGTAATTTGATTGGAATCACATTGAATATCTAGATTAATTTGGATAGAACTGATATTTATTTTGATTATATTGATTCTTCCAATTCAAGAACATGGAACCTCTATTTAGTTTTTTTTTTTTTTGTATTATACTCAGTTTTTTTCTTTCCTTTTATTTATTTATTTATTTATTTATTTGTAGTTTATGCTAGAGGGCATGTGCACTCACTGGAGAGAGACCGAGACACAGACCTTGGGAGGGGCAGAGGGAGAGAGATAGAAATAAGATATCACCCCCAAGGGCGGTGGCCATGCAGCAGTGCCTTCTCCTTTATTCTCCTCTCAGGATTTTGGGCATGTACGCATATGTGCCCAGCATGCCTTTCGAACTGCAGAGTTGGCCATGTGGGATCCAACACCTTAACCACCATGCCATCTGCTGGCCTACTTCTACACCTATTGATTTTGCTGGGAGTCTTTTTTTGTGAATTCTTTCAGCTTTTGTTTATTTTGAAATTATTTTATTTCTGCTTCCCCCTTGAAGGATAATCTTACAATATTCTTGTCTGAAATTGTATTTCTTTCAGTTTTAGATAAGTCTTCCCATTCTTTCTTTGTCTGCATCATTTCAGTTGAAAGGTCTGATGTTAGTCTAATGGGGTAACCTTTATGAGTAACTGACTATGTTTTAATCTTGGGGAGCATCTTCTGATGTTAAATCTGGTTGGTGTTCTTTGTAGTTCTTTGATTTGGATGTCCATACGCCTTTGTAAATTTGGAAAATTTTCAGCTAATATATCATGAGAGAGATTTTACTATGCTCTTACCAGTCTCTGCCTTTTGGAATACCCATTATGCAGATATTTGGTTGTTGACATTCCAGCTGTCCCAGGATTATTGGTAAATGGGGAATGTTCTCCTGAGGTGTAGTATCTTTACCTCAGTCTTTAGCACAGATCCTCAGCCTATGTGTTATGGATGTACTGGAAGTACTGACTCCTTAGATTTGAGAGCCAGGGACTACCTGTGTAGGCCCATATGCCCTACAAATACTATTTTTTCTCTCTGCACCATGATATGAAAAAGACTCAACACAGCCAAGAGGACAGGCTCTTTGAGTAATGGCTTCCTTTAACCATTCCAGCCTAACCCAAGAAAAGAACAAAGATTTGGCATGCTGTTTTGAATTTAGGGCAAGCTATGGAAGCATCATGAAAGCACAGTGTTCAAGGGTGCTGCACCCACATGGCAAGGTCCTGATTTGCATCTAGTGGGCTGTGTACATGGGCAAGTGTGTGTCCATGATCTGGGCATGAAGATCCTTTTGATCCCCTCCTCATCTCTCTTCTCTCACATGGAAGAAATAAATAAACATTTAAAACAAACAAACTAGAAATCCTGTGATCTAGTGGTTAAGGAGCTGGATCCCACATGGCTGACTTCAGTTTAAATCCTGGCTGTGTGACCTTGAAAAACATGCCAGGTAGAATATGTGCGTGCCCCAAATCCAGGTAGGATGGAGAAATGGAGAAGATGGGATTGTAGTGAGATTATGCCCCATTGCACAGTGTCTTCTCTCTCTTTCTGTGTCTCTCTGTGACAAGTGCACACACCCTATGGCAATTATGCAGTTAGATTGTGATTGTGTAAACTCACAAAGATTTGTTCTTATAATTTAAAGAACGTATATTAAAGTAGAAAATCCTCAAATTTATGTTTTCTCTTGAGTTTGTTCTTATTTCTTTGGGGTTTTAGTTAGTACTCAATAATAGATTTCTTAAGATTTATAATTTAGATGTGTTATGAAATAATTTTTCAAACCTACAAAAATGTATTGATAAAAATGTCACCAGCCTCTTCTACATTTTCCAGTGTCAAGTAGATTATATATTAAATGTGAGATGAATTTTTAATATTTGTTAAAATGTTTTCTTCCTCACAGGACTCACCCCAGCCCTACGCTGTTCATATGTGTTAATACAGGGCAGTTTATTTAATGGAGTGAGAGCTCTAGGATTTCTATATATAAGAACTAAGTTTTATCATTTGTATAGTTTTGAGAATGTAATTTATACTGTAAGAAAATGAATTTCTCTCAAGACTTTACTAAAACTTTTTTTTGCCAAACCTTGAATCAGATCAATGACTCGTTGCAATAAGTATTTGCATGTAGAGCTGTTCAGGCAAAATAATATACTATGTGACATAAAGCAGATTGTAATACCACTTTAATAAATGATTGTGCTCTAAAGAACTTAACTGTGTCCTTGCTGCCTCAAATTCTTTGCTGGAGTATCTTGACTATAATCATTTACTTTTATACCAGATAATTTTTTTTTTTTAGGCTGACATAAGGGGATCCTATTGCACATAGTTATAAACTCACCT